CAGAGACTCGAAATGTAGGCTGACGTTATTGTATAATCTTGAGATAGTCTTTCAAGTGGAATGTTAAACATAGTTGCTCATATAGATCTTGTCGCATGGTGATGGGTCCTTATGTCTGAACCAGAAGGCCCAGGTCCAAATTCCATCTGCTTCAAAGATACATCATAACACCTCTGACAAGTTGAGTAAAAATATCTGCTTGGAAAAAGAACAGAGTTGTTGTTCCCAGCATTTTTCACATTACAGAAAAGCAAGTGCTGGATGTCTTTTAAAAATAAAATACAGGTGGATAAATCACCAGAACCTGGTCAAGTGTAGCTCAGGACATTGTGGGAAGTTAGGAATGAAAATGAGGGGCCCTAGCAGAGATATTTGTATCATCTACAGCCACTGGTGAAGTACCAGAGGACTGGAGGGTGGCTAATGTTGTGCGTTTATTTAAGAAAGGCTGAAGGAGAAGCCTGGGAACAGTAGACCTGTGACTCTGCCATCAACGGTGGTTAAGTTGTTGGAGGGGATTCTAAGAGATAGGATTTACATGCATTTTGAGAGGCAACGAGTAATTAGGGATAGGCAGCTTTGTGTGTGGGAAATTATGTCTCTCAAATTTGATTGTGTTTTTGTTGATGTAACCAAAAAGATTGATGAGGGCAGAGCAGTAGACATTGTCTACATGGACTTTAGTAAAGCCTTTAACACGGTTCTGCGTGGTAGACTAATTAGTAAAGTTAGATCACATGGGATTTAGGGTGAGCTTGCCAATTGGGTACAAAATTGGCTTAACAGTAGGAGACAGAAGGTGGTCGTAGAGGATAGCAGACTGGAGGCCTGTGACCAGCAGGGTTCTGTAGGGATCGGGGCTGGGTCAACTTTTGTTTGTAATTTTTATAAATGATTTGGATGAGAATTTAGAAGGCGTGGTTAGTAATTTGCAGATGACACCAATATTGGTGGTTTAGTGTACAGTGAAGAAGGTTATAGAGTTTAAGAATACAAAGGGATCTTAATCAATTGGGCCAATGGGCTAAGGAGTGGCAGATGGAGTTTAATTTAGATAAATGTGAGGTATTGCATTTTGGTAAAATGAGCAAGGGCAGGACTTGCACAGTTAACGGTAGGGCCCTGGGTAGTGTTGTAGAACAGAGAGACCTAGGGGTTCAGGGACATCGTTCTTTGAAAGTTGCATCACAGGTATCCAGAAGGTGTTTGGCATGCTTGTCATCATTGCTCAGACCATTGAGAATAGGAGTTTGAGACGTTATGTTGAGGTTGTACAGAACGTTGGTGAGGCCACTTTTGATTTATAGTCGGTTCTGCTATAGCGTGTGTTCCGGCAACGCGAATTGGCTATAACGTGACTGACGAATAGGAGAACGCTATTTCTAAAAAGCGAACTTGTGTTGGCTATAACACAATTCCATCGGTGTGTGGAGGAGAACGCACCGGCATCACATGATCATTTCACAGGCTATGTAGTGAATATGGGCAATGTTAATGCCAAAAGAGTCTCCGTGCCAGCATCACGAGATCATTTCACCGACTTTGTCGTGAAGTGCCTTCTGTGAGAGGTACAGTGCTTAGTGATTTTCATTTTTATTGCAAATTCTGCCGTCTTCCCCACGAAAATTGGAGGACAAAGTGACAAGAATGTTAACAAGAAGTGTCCTGGTGATAAAATTGTGGGTGGTAAATGTAAAAGAAAGGCTCTAACAATGGAAGAGAAGCTAGATGTTATAAGAGTTTTGTAGTGTAATGAGAGAACATGTGATATAGTTCACGTAACAGGAATAAACGAGTCTACCTTACGCACCATTAGAGACAATGCAGAAAAGATTAAAGCAAGCTGTGTTGCCGGAACAAGTCTGAGTGCTAGCAAATCTGTAAGGTAATGGACAAAGGAACTTGAGAAGATGGAGCGGCTTCTAAGTGTGTGGATAGAAGATCAAACGATAAAGTGACCTGGGACCATCTTTCTCACGATAACAGAGAAATCCTTATCAATTTATGAAGATCTATCACAAAAAGCCAAAAATCATGCAGATGTGTCTGCTTTTAGTGCTAGCAGTGGCTGGTTGGATGGTTTAAGAATCACTATGCTTTTCATAACGTAAAGGTATGTGGCGAAGCTGCCAGTGCAGACGAGAGCACGCGATGGCATTTCCTCCCATAGCCAAAGAAATTAATTGACGAAGAAGACTACAGCTTAGATCAAATTTTTAATTTCTATGAGACAGGTTTATACTGGAAACAAATGCCATCAAGAACGTACATTTCTATGAGTGTAGCCCATGCTGCAGGCTTTAAGGTGGCAAAGGAGAATACTCCTCCTCCCACCCACCTTCCTGCAAAAATGCTATCCCCTATTCCCAATTCCTTTGCCTCCGCCGCATCTGCTCCCAGGATGAGGCATTCCACTCCCATACATCTCAGTTGTCCTCGTTTTTCAAGGACCGTAACTTCCCCTCCTCGGTGGTCGAGAACGCCCTCAACTGTGTCTCCCACATCTCCCGCCCCTCATCCCTCACACCCCGTCCACGCAATAAGAACCAAAAAAGAATCCCCCTCGTCCTCACGTACCACCCCACCAACCTCCGGATCCAACGCATCATCCTCCGACACTTCCGCCATCTGCAATCCGACCCCACCACCAAAGACATCTTTCCCTCCCCACCCTTATCTGCTTTCCGGAGGGACAACTCTCTCCGTGACTCCCTTGTCCGCTCCACACTCCCCTCCAGCTCCACCACACCCGGCACTTTTCCCTGTAACCGCAGGAAGTGCTACACCTGCCCCCATACCTCCTCCCTCACCCCCATCCCAGGCCCCAAGAAGACTTTCCACATCAAGCAGATGTTCACCTGCACATCTGCCAATGTGGTATACTGCATCCGCTGTACCCGGTGTGGCTTCCTCTACATCGGGGAAACCAAGCGGAGACTCGGGGACCGCTTTGCAGAACACCAACGCTCGGTTCGCAATAAACAACTGCACCTCCCAGTCGCGAACCATTTCAACTCCCCCTCCCATTCCTCAGACGACATGTCCATCCTGGGCCTCCTGCAGTGCCACAACGATGCCACCCGAAGGTTGCAGGAACAGCAACTCATATTCCGCTTGGGAACCCTGCAGCCCAATGGTATCAATGTGGATTTCACAAGTTTCAAAATCTCCCCTCCCCCCACCGCATCCCAAAACCAGTCCAACTCGTCCCTGCCTCCCTAACCTGTTCTTCCTCCCACCTATCCCCTCCTCCCACCTCAAGCCGCACCTCCATCTCCTACCGACCAACCTCATCCCGCCCCCTTGACCTGTCCGTCCTCCCTGGACTGACCTATCCCCTTCCTAACTCCCTACCTACACTCACCTTTACTGGCTCCATCCCCGCCTCTTCAACCGGTTTGTTTCCTCTCCACCTATCCTCTCCTCTATCCCTCTTCTATCCGCCTCCCACTCTCTCCCTATTTATTTCAAAACCCCCTTCCCCTCCCCCTTTTCTGATGAAGGGTCTGGGCCCGAAACGTCAGCCTCTCTGCTCCTATGATGCTGCTTGGCCTGCTGTGTTCATCCAGCCCTGCACCTTGTTGTCTTGAATGACTGTGGTGCCTGTTTGGCACCCTATGAACAGCTTCATTATGAAAGAAGAAAAAGGGCAAAGCAGCAAAAACTGAATGTCTTTTTTAAGCCAACCCCCAAGAAACTATCAGAAGACAATGAATCACAGCCATCCACTTCAGGATTAACTATTTTTCTCCCTAACCCTGCAACCACAACTGCACCTGAAGGTCATGATGATGACGACCCTCAGCCACTGCATTAACAACAGAGCAACCTCGAAACATCCTCCCCCATCAAGTTATCTTGACATTTTTCAAGGTAAGGTGTTAAATTCACTTTTATTTCACAATTAGGTATGAATTAAACATTTATTCAAACTGCTATCCTTTGTGTTAGGCTTTTGAGTGATTTTGAGTGGATTTTTTTTGGTGGTCTGCCCCTAACCTTGCTTTTCCCACAGGCCCCATTATTTCTATAGCATGATTTTATATAACACGATGTTACACAGGAGCGCAACTATCACATTATAGCAGAACTGACTGTACTCTGTTGAATTCTGGTCGGCCTACTATAGGAAGGACATTATTAAACTGGAGAAAGTTCAGAAAAAATTTACCAGGATGTTGCTGGGACTGGAGGGTTTGCGTTATAAAGAAAGGCTGGGACTTTTTTCACTGGAGCGTAAGAGGTTGAGGGGTGAGCTTATAGAGGTTTATAAAATCATGACGGGCACAGGGAAAATGAATAGCAAAGGTCTTTTCCCTAGAGTGGGGGTGTTCAAAACTATGGGGTGTATTTTGAAGGTGAGAGGAAAAAGATTTAAAAGGGACCTGAAGGGCAACTTTTTCACATAGATGGGTGGTTAGTGTGTGGAATGAACTTCCAGAGGAAGTGGTAGATGCAAGTTCAGTTACAGCATTTAGAAGACATTTGGACAGGCACATGAATAGGAAGGATTCAGAAGGATATGGGCCAAATGCGAGCAAGAGGGATTAGTTTAGTTTAAGAAACATGGTTAGCATGGACAAGTTGACCAAAGGGTCTGTTTCTGTGCTGTATGATTCTATGACTCAATTTATCACTCAATTAACTAAAAGACAGAGTATTTGGTCACCGTCACATTTCTGTTCATGTAGCTTTGCTGTGCATGTTTACAACATAATGATAATTACTACCCTTCGAAAACAGGTCAACAACTGCAAAGTGCCTTGGAATAGCCTTCAGATCTTGAAAGTATCCAATGAAACCTAAGTGCTTTCTTTCTGTAAATACAAGTTACTCTTACTATCGAGTGAGCTGCAGCAACTTGGTCAAAGCATAATATTAAAAATCAAATCCACTGTCAACTTGCATCAATTTGTTAAAGATCAAATCTTGGCTCACGTTGTGAGTTTTATTTGGACATAGTTGTTCGCACTGTCCTCACGTTATTGATTTATTTTAAGGATATAACGTTGTAGTGCGAATACCTTCAGGAGCGACTAATATTGATGTACGGCAGCACAGCTATTCAGGGAAGCCAGAAGATGATAACTACCTCGGTAAGCAGTTTGAGAAGAATTATCGTGCTTTATTTATTCAGTACTTGAAGTCCTCAGCTCATGGGAGTCAATGATCCACTTGAGTTCTAACAATTCCTTCAAGTCCCAGTCACTAAAACCGTGTAATCGGTGATTACCACATAGGGGAAAGTTGACATTTTCTAGACTATTATAAGCAAAATTTACTTTCTGCTTTGAATTCAATGAGACTCAGATTGAGTTTTTCAAGGTATTGTATCTCCCCACATTTTTATTTTCTGTACTGGTGAGAAGGAGCTCTGATTTGGTTAAAAGTCTCACACTATCCATGACATGCATTGCCTAGTACAACGTTTTGTGAAGTGAGCACAAGATAATATAATCTATATAGTTATTTTAAAGAACGATGTGTATTCAGTGCTTGCTTTGCCAGTGATTTCCACATCCTGTCATATTGAGAAATACATAAACGTGGGTGCAAATGCATTAATGTAAGCAAATAGAGCAGTCAATCTAAGCTACAAGGCTCTAAACCAGATTTGAGATGAATAAGTGGTAATGTAGCCTTTGAGATGGCATTTCTTTAAATAGCACTGTACATTTTCTTTCCCATTGACACAGACAGGCAGACTCAGGCTGAATTTAATGGCTCAGCTGTCTAGTTTAGGAGGTGCTGACCCTCGACGTACTTTCCAGAGAACTGGTTTGAATAGTTCTTAACTTCCTCTTCCATGATGCAGAAGTCCCTGAATCGTGATCTCCTGGGACAACAAGGGTGTAGAGCTGGATGAACACGGGTCTAGACCCGAAACGTCAGCTTTCCTGCTCCCCTGATGCTGCTTGACAACGTCAGCTTTCCTGCTCCCCTGATGCTGCTTGACCTGCTGCGTTCATCCAGCTCTACACCTTGTTGTCTCAGATTCTCCAGCATTGGCAGTTCCTACTATCTCGTGATCTCCTGGGTTGCTTTCAATCTTCTGGGCAATCAGAGGGAATTTTCGCCAGAGTATCTTTTTCCTTGTTGGGTTTTCTTGAGTTTTTCATCTTACCATTATTCAAGTTTGGAGCAAAATGTCCTGAATGAAAGTTCGGACTTTATGCTAGTTTATTTGCATAGAACCATGTAGTAACAGTAGGTACAGATGGCAATGTTTAGTAGATTAGGAAAGCTGAAAGTTAGGCAAATCTTTTATTAATTTTTACATATTTCCTGGCCATAACTCTGAACAAATAGACAAGGGTGAAAATCTGATCTCTCATTTTCTATGTACTTGTCTGGGAAGTGTGCAAATTGATTTAGGTATCTATTTGTGACTGATGAAGAAAACATTATTTTCTGGGAACCATTCAAAGAGTGCTTGGAACACTCATTGTTAAAGATAATCCTTTGTTTACATCTTTCCAAATTCTTCCAGTAAATGTGGATCCCTTATTATTTCTACACCTCAGCAATCCTCCCTTCCTTACAGTTGCCTTAACCTCTGACTTGCCATGAGTAACCTTGGGTTTGGGTTAGTCATGAGTCTGCATAATGTCTTGGTAGCAAAATACAGCAGCTCATAGAGAGAATCTAAATATTGAATTTACATTATCTTAATTTTGATTTTTGCACATATTTCAGAGAAGATATCTGTATATTGTACAGAAGCACTGGCTTAGTGATTCATTTAAAATTAGTCCGCTCTTGAAGGTTGTTTCCTAGAAGTGAGTTAGTTGGTTAAGTGAAGAATGTTCAGTGGAGGAATTTTTCTTATTATTTGATGATGTGTTGAAAGCTAAGATAGAATGTATTGCCTTACTATTCCATTGACTTGCAATGGAATGCCAGAGAGTTAGCTCCTGTTTCATTCTGATTCAGTTGGTTACACTCTACATCTAAAGTGTGGGATCAACCATTAGTTCAGAATTCACAGAAACTAGGCTAATGTTTCAGTGCTACATTGAAGGAGTGCTACATTGACAGAGGTGCTTCTCTTTGGATGAAATATTAGCAAAATGATACATTAGGTAATGAGGACATTGAAGACCTTACGACACCCCAAGAAGAAAGCAAATCATATAGTCTCTGAGGTAGCATTGACCACCAAAACATTATATGAATTATTTTCTCATCTTACTGTGATTGACAGATGTCACCATGAGTAATGCCTGCTGCATTTCCTACATAGCCACAGACACAGCACTTCCATTCACAACATAGAGACTCCACATTCTCTGTGGGGGGACAGTAACAAAAGCTGATCTTTGTACTTTAGGTGATCTTCACATGAACCCTGCTTTCCTAATGGAATGTTTCTGGTCTGTACTTCAGCATTATCTGACAGTCGAGGTAATTTCATCCTGAATGGAAACTTTGTGGTGAGCATGTTTAAACGAGAAATAAGCGTGCAGGGAGCCACGATTGAATACAGCGGCTCAGATAATGATGTGGAGCGCATTAACTGCACTGACCGGATTGAGGAAGAGCTGATTTTGCAGGTGGGATTTTTTTCTAACAGTAGTGCCTTCTTGCTTATTTATTGAATGGTAATTATTTTCCGCCACATTTCCATCAAAGAATTTCCTCCACATCAGAAATTCTTTTCTCGCCTACCATTACTTTAGGAGCACCAATTTCTACTTGTTAAAGGCACATTGGCTTAACATTAGTTGATATTCTCACACTGTTTTATAGGTTTTATCTGTTGGAAATTTGTACAACCCCGATGTCCGTTACTCTTTTAATATACCCATAGAGGACCAACTGGAGAAGTTTGTTTGGGATCCATATGGTTCATGGCAAGAGTGTAGCAGGCTGTGCCAAGGTAAACTCCAACCTGTTATTTCCATTCAATTTTTGTGTCTTAAAGTAAGTTTCATATTAGGAAAAGGTTTGGCTGTTGACAATTGGATGGCCTAGCGGTATTATCCATAGACTATTAATCCAGAGACCCAGACAATGTTCTGGGGATGCAGGTTTGAATTTGAATTCAATTTTTTTTTAAAATCTGGAATTATGAGTCTAAATGATGAAACAATTGTCAAGAAAAACCTATCTAGTTCACTAATGTTCTTCATTAACTGCAGTCTTGACCTGTAGCTGCAGACCCACAGCAATGTAGTTGGCTCTGGGGCAATTTAGGATCGGTTAGAAATGCTGTTTCAGTGATGCCCATATCATGAGTCTTCCTTTGTAGAGTGTATTACTTTACAGGATTTCCCCGGGTCTTTTGCTGGAGTTGTCACAGGAGACCAAGGGAACCCATACTTTCAGGACCTCTTGGCTTTATTGCAACTTGCAAATTCTGTGCTTCTGTTTTTAACCCGTGACATCACGAGTTAAAAGAAAACAGAACATTTTGCCATAACAAGGTGTAGAGCTGGATGGACACAGCAGGCCAAGCAGCATCAGAGGAGCAGGAAGGCTGACGTTTCGGGCCTAGACCCTTCTTCAGAAATGGGGAAGGGGAAGGGGATTCTGAAATAAATAGGGAGAGAGGGGGAGGCGGATAGAAGATGGATAGAGGAGAAGATAGGTGGAGAGGAGACAGACAGGTCAAAGAGGCGGGGATGGAGCCAGTAAAGGTGAGAGGAGGTGGGGAGTTAGGGAGGGGGTAGGTCAGTCCAGGGAGGATGGACAGGTCAAGGGGG